CGAAAAGCTTTCTACTTCCTTTGGTATTATAATAAAATATTGTGGCAGTAGTTCCCTCTATGAACAAAGTCAAGCAACCTTTATTTCATTGGTAAGCAAATTACAATTGAAATCGACATACTGATTAAACTCTACTGCTCATTCGTAATAATGAAATGAGCAAGAAACTCTAGGGGTTGGTCTTTGTAAATATACATTTGAATACAAATATCATTTGTTTAATGGGCGATCATTTCGTAGCGCAGGTATTAGGATATATGTGATTTGCATTGCGTACATGCATGCATATGTATATATGTGTGTATGTATGTATGTGTGTGTATGTATATATATGTATATATAAGTATATTAAGTGTATTTGTTACGTAATAATTTTATTTGCTGTGACCACTTTGTAAGTGCTCATTGTTTAGTCATTATGTTATTATAAGCGAAAACCTTTAATTGGCTGTAATGTATTTGTTGATGTTTTTAATTTGTTGTTAAGCTGTTGGTTTTCCACGAATAAATAAATAAATAAATAAACAATGTTTAATTTAAACATCTTACATCGATTGTCATCCAAGTACGCAGAAGCTGTATAGTACCCTCTTAGTATAGTTTTAAACCTCGTAAATGGCAATTTTTTTATAGAAGCGTATACGGGGCAACCTTAAATGAATTTGTGACTTTGTGAAGATGACTATCAAGAACAGCTAGTTTATTTTCATTCCTTGTATTAATGTTATGTCTGTCACTATTTATTTTTCATAAAGAAATGAATATATTTCTTCACATAAAAAAAAAACACTTTTTACAAGGAGCTCTACTGCTACTAAATAAATCTAAATCTACGTTATCAATGGGGACTTGTATCTTTATATACCTAAAATGGTCTTTGCTAAATTGTATACACATTTTTTAAACACTCTGTATATGAATAAAACTTCGAGTAAAGGAAAATACTTTATATCAGAACTAATGATAATCTCTAGGTATACCAATTAGTTCGTTCTTGACAAGCAGTGTGGCAACATGGTGTACCAGTGGAGAGATAAAGTGGTAATTATCACTGGCGCTGCTTCCGGCATTGGGGAGATTGTCGTTCGATATTTAATGGATGAATCTGTTAAGGTAAGTCGGTAACCTATCACAAACTCGAATTTATTTTGTCCGAAATAACGTTAGTTCGAATTTTCATTACACCGAAAACCGAATTATAACGACACTATTGATATTTCCTACATTTATACTTCATTTTTCTTTTTCCTTTAAATGTATATAAGCATTTAATATATATTATTGTTTATTTATTGTTATGTATGCATTAATATTAATATTATTAGTATGTATATGTATATTTATCTACGTATATGTATATATTTTTATTATTACTTATTATGTAGTGTACTTATGAAGATATTCTTTGGTGGATAGACATTTCGGATATGCAAAAAGGGGTGAACCCCTTTTTGCATATCCGAAATGTCTATCCAAAGGTTGCCTGGAAGAAATTGCTACATAGCAATAATGTCGCCTGTTGCACATTAACTTACTACTACTATTATACTAAAGCTATTGTATTGTATTTTAATTGTAATTTTATAAAGAATATTTCTTTAATTCATTTCATAGAATATAAAATCACTTATTCCTTAAATAATCAACGCAGTACACATGCATTTTATAATAATAATAATAACACTGATAATAATAGTAATAATAACCTAAGGATTTGAAACTAAATACATATAATATATAGAGTACAAAGCGTGTGTGCTGTGCTGCCAAGGAAACCGTGACACAGACGTCCGGCAACAACACACGTGACACGTAACATAGTAGGTGATACTAAAGACATTGGATGACACAAGCTAATTATATTAATTTAAACACAAGACATGAACAGTCTATTCAATTAAGACACAATTAATGTAGTTACCGTTTAACAGATACCATTTGTTATGTGCAACAAATTACAATACGATTGAATGGAAATTAATATGATAAAATAGGAACGTGTTAATATTTAATTTGATAAAATTATAAAATAAGGTTTAATTAATTAATTGAGAAGTTTGATTACAATTAAACTGACGAACAATAATTAAACTAAAACGTATATGTTCCCGGCACATCAAGAGCTACGATGGATATTTTTGAAGATTTCGCAGATACTCTATGAGTAATTTTTTGAATACAAACAACGAACTTTTCATAATTTACAGCATGTAGCAGTAGTCGACTTAGACGAAAATAAAGGCAAATCTCTACAACACGAGTTAAACGCCAAATATGGCGCCAACAAAGTGCAGTTTTACAAAGGCGATGTCACCAATGATGACCAGTTGTTCAGTGTCTTCAACTCCGTGAAGAGCAAACAAGGTGATATCGATGTCGTGATCAATAATGCTGGGATTCTGAATGAGAGTTGGGAAAGTTATAAGAAACAAATTGATATTAATGTGGTAAGTAAATGGGCAAGAGTCCAGCTTTAAAATGACAACCATGAAATTAAAACCAGTGAATTAAACTATCATAATATATAATAGTTATTTGTTGCTGCCGAGTGAAACACACAACTTCTCACCTCATTGCAGCGAGGAAAATGGTAGATTAAAGAAAAACAGTTGTATTATAACAAACAAAATGAGTTATCGTTGTCAATTGAACAATAATAAGAATAAGATATACCAACGGATTTATATTACATAAAAATAATGTACGACAATTCGCGTAGTTGAACGTGTCATTAGGTTTTTTTTTCATCCAAAGATTTAGGTGCATCACAGTCCATCGACAAGTTCGAATTTAAAAAACCTTTTTAAGAAATCTTTCCGAGCTAGTGAGGTAAAAATAGACTAGCCGTGGTAACCTAATTAATTAATAAAACAGTGTAGGTCACGGTGGTGGGTTTCAATCTGGGCTTTTCCGAATTTTTCGGAACTTATGTGCGAAAGTTGATTTTTACCGTGAGCTTTTAGATGTAAAAATCAAAAAGAAAGGTCTGCTGGTTTGTTTCGTGTCTTAATTGGCAGAACGTCTAGCACGGATTGCTAGAAGGCACTGTTTCGAATCCAGTGGGATCGAAAGAATTTTTCTTAGTGTTCGAAAGTTGATTTTCAGTATTTGTTACGGCAAGACCGTGCATGATCCCTAGAGAGATTTTGATGTGTGTATTTGAACGACACTTAAGTTTTTAAATTTGTATTATTCACAAACCACGCTAATTAAATAATATTTAATAATAATATTGTTGTAGATGGATTATTTACTTTGTGTATTACTAGATTTTTTATTGTTATTCTCGAAAATAAAACAAAAAAACTTATTATTGCATTTCAAAGTCCAATCTTCAGAGGCATTTGAATTATATGGATATATACGACCTTCACTTAGAGCGGTTGTACACTTCCGCAGTTTTAGCAGCGCGTCTGCAGCAATTTAGTCGCCTTGCAGTAGCGATGCAGACGCTCGATCGAAGATCGTTGGTACGCTTAGAGAAAAAGGATCCCTGTGACATTTCGGGCCGTCATTTCGATTTCGGATTCGGAATTACAGCTTGATTTTGATTGCCTCTCCCGATCGGTAACTGCGTCTTTTCCGAGTCGAGGCGCATCATTGCGATTCACAACTGGTCGATCGGAAACTTAACATTTCAAATCGGAACAATAGTAGAATTAACTCACAAATTAGAAAGATATAGTAGGAATCGGGTTCATCTTCTCGCTCAGAAACCCATCTGATTTCGAGACGTACTACGAGAACGTTCTGCGCAAACGCTTTAATCGTCTACCTTTATTTAGAGCGTTACTTGCGTCTATCTTCACGAAGCAATGAGAGCCGAAGTTTATATTTAGCTGGCCATACTAACGGCTTCGTAATTTTAAACGAAATATCGTGTAATAATCCAAGATGGCCGCAATAAAATTTCCAGACGTGTTAGCGGGATTTACATAGACACTCTATCGCGCGTGATACGGCAATCGTGAGCGATTGAGCGCGCGTGTAAAGACGTTGGAAGGAAAAGGGAAAGACTTGCGCTCACCAGACGCGCGCGCAATTGCGCACTTCAACACGCGCCAGTTTCACGCGGTCTAACCTGCGCGATTAGCCTTTACACGGACGCTCTTTCCGTTGTAACAAAAGAAACACGAGCAATCGCGCGCGAAAGAAAGTTGGTTTAAAAACCTTCAACTACGTATGCGCGTGCAGGCTTTCCCGCTTGCGCTCCTGATCACACGCGGTAGTGTGACTGTGTAAAGGAGGCTATTGACTGTGGACCACTACTTTCGTCACTCCTAAATATGCGCTAGCAATAATCTTTTTATGGTGAACATTTTTTGGAGCTAATATGATTAGTTCAGCTTCAAAATTGTGTAAAAACTCCAACACTGTTTCGTCGTTCCGCAACATCAGGAGTTTATAGACAGACGGCTAACCAGTCCGAGAACAACGGTCGAAATAAACAATGCTACAATGGTACGACCACGCAGCACGATGTTTAGTGCGCTCAAATTCTTTTATGTACCACCACCCGAGCGTTAAGTTGTACACAGTCCGAATATTCCTGCGTTATTTCTGCGTGTATCGTATCATAGGCGAAACTGCGCTACAATAGTGCTAAATAGTACACTGATTACTATAATATGTTTGTTTCACAAAATTACCTCGAAATTTTACAAGAAAACCGCTGTATTCAATAAGTACTTAATATATACGAATGATTTTTTAATATCAACTAAATAGAACACAGTATATACTATACGATACACTTTTTTCAAATGGATTTAATTACGTTTGTAAAAAATAAATTCTGAAATAAAGCCAGTGTCCCAGAAAAAATTGAATTCGAGCTAAGGTAGTATCGACTCATAAGCAGCGGTATTATCGCGATGCAAACGCAATCTATGTTTTTAACGCGTCACCATCGATGTAGTTGCGGGTTAGTATCGAAATTGTACGTTTGCATCGATGCAATAGCGTGTTTGCAACCACCCTTATGTCGCTAATGTCGCGAAGCAATCGCGCGTTTGTGTCGCTGCTAAAAAGTCGCCATGTGTAACAGCTTACTTAATTTCAATATTGACCTTTGTATAAAAACACCTACTATAAACTTCTAATTGATTGGTTAACTACGGCAACGACGAAGTTCATACATAGATTCAAGGTACACGTGTATACTTATTTTCAAGGTCAAACATTTCAAATGTCACTGTGTAATCTCAATCGACTATGAATTTTATATCTAGACGTTTAAGATACTTTTTTTAACGACGGCGAGTTTTTGTAGCGAGTAAATTAAATAGATCTTCACTTCATTAAAGTCAAATAGCTGCGAAGGTTGGACTTTAGACAATAGCATTGTAACCAAAATGCTTTTTATAAAATAAAAACTAACCTCATAAGTTTGTGGAATTACGTCTATTTCCCAAGATTTTTTTATTGAATTTGTCACCCTTAGAGGTGGAACATTTTCTTCAAATTTAAATAGAACTACTATTGAAGTACCTCTTCCAACAAAAAAAAGAATCCTCGAAATGGTTCACAAATTCAGAGTAACCGCGTAACATACACCCAAAAATACTGTCGTATTTAGAACCTCTTATTGAGTTCTTAGGTTTCCACGATTGTTGCACAGATCAGGTGGTCGATTCAGATCTTTACGATAACAGTCATCGACCGATTTCTTTTCATTTTTAATCACGACATCCGAATCGAACGTCAAACTGTCGTATTACAGACGTTACTCAGAATACAGTTATCGAATGAAAGTTTTATAAAGCAAGAACGTCTTATTGATTTTAAATAAAGTCTGGATTTTGTTTAACTTTATTAATTTATAAGTATAACGGGGAGTGCTCAGACGAACTCTTTGAGTTGGTGCCTCCGTCACTCTTTTACCACTGCACGACCCGCCGAAGGAGAAGACTCCATCCCCACTTCCTCGATGCTTGGCACGTCACGACCACTCGAGCATCTCGTTCGTTCCTTCCCCGAACCAGTAAGATGTGGAATGGCCTTCCTCCTGAAGTGTTCCCCTTGCGCTATAACATGGAGTTCTTCAAAAGACGTGTAAACAAGGTTCTCCGGAGTCGGCAACGCATGGGTGATGCCTCTGGTATTGCTCGTGTCCATGGGCGACAATGACCACCTCCCATCAAGTGGCTTGTCTGCTCGTTTGCCTACTAGTTAACATAAAAAAAAAAAAAAAAATTTTAATGCAAGACTAATAATGCATTCCTATATTTTAGGCCTTTAAAGTTTTAAAAATGTATATAAAAGAATTTTCATTTTTCTTGTAATCCATTTCATCGACTAACTCGGTAAACGCTGTTGGACAACGATATCGTATCCGAATCCGAGTCGGACGTTTAACTCGAATGTTCTGAATAGCTCGGAAAGCCCTTCGATTCGAAAAGATATACAATCGAACGATTCGGTTAAAATATCGAAACGTTCTGAATCGGGATCCTGACACGAGTCGGCCAACTCAGATGTGCGAGCTCGGATTCTCCTCGGCCTCTGTTTATTTTTTATTTTCTTTATTTATTTATTTATTTTGGCACAGTTACAAGATACAAATTATACAATACACCTAAAACCATAACACTATAACAAAAACAAACAAATTTATATCTCAATAACAACCGCGCACAACATTGAAATAACATTTAAAATTTATATATGGCTATCTAAGTCTTATAAACAATGATATACTTTAAAAGAAAATATTTCACTCTGTGAGGTGTTCGCGTGCCGTAACAGTCATGGTTCTTTATAATTTTTACGAATGTGTTAGTGCTCTGGTGGAACACATCGAGATCTTTAGATAAGACATTATACTGTCTGCATAGGCGTATAAGAGGACTATTATATGACACATTATTTGTAGTAGAGGGCACCGAAAACAAATGTTGCCTTCGGCTAGACCTATTAGTAGCCTTCAGTGAAACATGGCTTAAGATATCAGTATCTAATTTGGAATTTACTATTTTATGCAACATCACAAGATCAGTTTGATAGGCGGTAGGACAAACCACTAGGCTATCACGGCTACATTGGCATGTGGGTAAAGTGATAAAATCTTTTTTTAGACGGCCGTGGTGACCTCAACTCTAAAAGCATTAGAGCTGATGCGTAAAGACCACGGCGGCAAAGGTGGTACAGTGATCAACATAGCTTCTATTGCTGCGCTTATTCAAACGCCGTTGGTGCCCATCTATTGTGCCACGAAAAGTGCTGTTCTACAGTTCAGTAATTGTATTGGTGTAAGTGTATATTGTAATATAGAAACATCGAGTATATAACCAGAAATAGAGACGAAATGTCATTTAATTTGTTTGAAAACTATTTTGCTAAATCATTACTGTTATATCTGCGCTCCGATTGGCCAGCCCGGATTCGAAACAATTGAGGGATGTCGTCATAAAAAATTAAATATTTAATATTCCATTACCGCTGATCTAACTAGATACTGACATAATTGTTCTCCCAGAAGGAGTTCCGGTGGGTAAAAATAATGTACTAGACTCGTAGAGGGTCCCGTGAGTACCAGAAAAATCCAAAATCTTCAAAATTTGCACAAGTATAAGACCTACCGGAAAGGTGTTCTTACTAAAAATGGCCTGGTCAGTTTCTACCGGAAGTGAAAAAAATTCGAAATTCGTAAAAACAAGATGGCCGCCATACAAATTGCAGAGCTTTATATCTTGAAAACTACAAGAGGTAGGTGGGGGGGTGCTCGACTAAATATCATAGAGGGCGGCGGGGGTCAACTGCCGGTGACAAATTTTTTTCAAGATGGCCGACTCAAAATGGCGGCCCGAAAAAAAGGTAGTCCAATCCGGCCGAAATTTGGCATGCGGACGTGTATGGGGGCTTAGGTTACAAATCTGGGGTTAGAATTTTGATTCCGCCATTTTCCAAGATGGCCGCCATACATGTGAAACTTTCGCCCTTTGGAGTCATTTTTCGCCCAGAAGAAGGGTGGATAGGTACAAGTGATGTAGGAGAGTAATGGTTATATCGGTCATATGAACGTCAAAAACTATTGAACTCTTTGAAATGTGCTCCGCATCAGTTGTTGGCGCTGTACTATTTCAGTTTTCGAATTTGTGATTTCAGCGCAAACGAGAGTTGATATTTAAAAATGATAAAAGGCCCATTTACCTGACAGTGACTAGGCGTCCATATAACTCGATTCCCACCGGCTTGCCTAAAATTTTCCACGTATTACCAAAATTGTAGTAAACAACACGTATAACCCCGTGTCTTAAAAAACTTATGTTCAAAATATCTAATAATACGGAGTATGATGTATCGCGGCATCTCTGCCAATCACAGGGCACGGTTTATCTCGCAAGTCGGTCGGATCCCGGCTTCTATTTCATACATGAAACCTAGACGCACATATCAAAATACCATTTGCAAAAGTCCGCTGTAAAACCTTAATAGAATAAGACCTAATAATAGCGGCTGAAAACTCGAAAACCATCGTGTACGAGCTGTTTGTCTCGTACAGAAATACGTCAAAATATGTCAGGTGATATCAGCGAGATGATGCAGGGAGATGTCAAAGATGCTGTAGAAATAATACTCGACCGATACCACGGAGTAACTGTATTGTCAGTTGCACAATAATGTACGTTGGCCCGTAAATACTCCCAACACACAAGGAAGAAATAAAGTAAAAATGTCAATAAAAATCGTAAAAATGCGAAGTGTAAATCCTATAAAATAACCATGTAAAATTTTTAAATATTCCAACTTAAAGTATAAAAGATGTTCTTAAATATTTCACTTACATGTCACTATGAATTGTCAACTTAAAAATTTAATATAAAAATTAATTAAGAGCAACAAAAGTATTAACTAACTAGGTTTATAGAATTATTTAAATCGAAGTGAATTTTCTTCAACATCGTTGGCGAGGTACCGGTGTCCACACTCGCCATGGAACCTCTCAATGCGCGAGTCATTCTTCCGGGCGGCAACATAGAGCGTGGCGTAGTGACTATTACGTCAGTGAGTGACGTCTCATCCATGGCAGAGAGATGAGTAGAACTTTGTTGCGCAGGCGCTCTTTCTTGCAAGTTGCATCGCTTAGATTTTATGTAGCATGCTAAGATCCCGAGTAATGATAATACTAGTCCAATGATACTTGTGTAGATAATAATGTAGTGCGTGTTATTGCTGTTGGTAAACTGTTCTAATTGTTGTTGCTTTGTGATGTCAATCTTCTGTTGGATTTCTTCATATGTTTTTTCGTGGTTTTCAGGAATAAAATTGTCAGGTAATGATATATTCATGATTAATGAGTGTCTTGCATGTCAAGGGCAATGGTGGGACGTATAGTTACTTGTTTGATATAGTCATGCTGACAATATATTATTAACTTATCTCCTTTAATCACACATCCTGATTCCGGGCTTAATAGTCCATTGTCTCGTAATTTTTTAGTTTCTATTTCCGACGAACACATGATTCGAACGCGGCACTCGCTGCAACATGAGTATAGCCACGTGTCGCGTGCTTGCAATTTGATCCACCTATTAGTACATTTCTTTGCGACAGGTGTCGCACAGAGATTGCCCCATGGTCATTGAATATACGGTGGTACTTCTAATTTTGGCGTAGATTCGAATTGATGCACAGTTGATAAAATTTTCTTATTTAAAATCCGTTTCATGTCCCTGTAATTTTTCTCAAAAGAAAAATATTCTTCTTCAAACTTCTTATCTCCGTCGCTTGATACGCTGTCGATTTTTAAATACAATTTGTCAATATTCTCCCACCGTGACTGAAAATTTTTTAAGTCATCCTCCAGTTCCCATTTTTCTGTTATTTTGTCAAAGTCAACATTATTTATTTGGCGTAGTAATGCACGAAAATTGGACTTCTGCTCACTCTTCAACTCGTCTGCTGCTAGCTTCATACCTGCCCTTTCCATGTTGGGAAAATAGTTCATAAGTCGGTTGCGTATTGTGTCATAAAGATTTTTTGTGTCATTGTAGATATTGTTTACGTAGTAATCATGCGTATTTTCATATTCAGAGTATGAAAGTTGAGCATTATTGCTGTCAAATTCTGCCCATAAACTGACAAGGGCGATTACCCTTTTTTGTAGGTAACCTTCCGTCTTTCTCGAGGATGAATCCAAGAAGTTCTTCCATTTGCATTGCATTGCACTGGGTGTATACTGCCAACGATAATGGCAATAAAATGTAGATTAAACCGTTGCGGTTACGGCGATGTCAATTTTCACTGTAATATATTTATGTCAATAAAATGCAGATCAAATCTTGTAAATGTACTGCCACTTATGTCGTGACGATATGCAATGAAAGTCTATTCGTTCTTACCGTTGTTGTTACGGTGATTTCAATTTACACTGCAATATATTTATGCACTCACAAATGTCACTGTTTTGTATAAAATGTCACTGTTTTATATAAATGTCACTATCAATTGTTGAATTTATGTCAAAATTGTCATTGCGATTTTGCACTCTTCGTACGCTCGTTGACCACTCGTCTCAACTTAACTGGTGTGACCCGCTTCTGGGAGGCCAGTTAAGTGTATGCGCTAATCGTAGTCTGAGATACAATACTCACCAAAGAATCAAAACTCGAAGCACGAACATATGGATCCGGGTCGAAGGACTCGTACAGTAATATGTCAGAATATGTCAGGTGATATCTGCGAGACGATGCAGGGAGATGTCAAAGATGCTGTAGAAGTAATACTCGACCGATACCACGGAGTAACTTTATTGTACTGAAAATTATAATTTATACATTTTACACGTGCCTAATGTAGGGTGCGACGTTGCATATTGTCAGTTGCACAATAATGTACATTGACCCATGCATATCGGGTAACATAGTATCTTGTGTGCTAATAAGTGTTACAGCGCGTCTTTTTAACGGAAAAGAAGTTTTTGTCTTCGTTTCTGGTTATATACTCGATATATAGAAAAGAATAAACAGAGCTTTTTTTATTTTTTAAGGAAACGCAGTTAAATACAAGGAGTTAAAATGTATGATACTTGTTTATTTATTTATTTATTGTTCCTAACAAAATTTTGAATTTTTTCTAGACAGCAGTAACTTGCACATATTATCTTCTAGAATCATAAATATACTCGGTTATTTGTAAAATGCTAACAACCGCCCAGGACTGTATTACCACAGATAATATTATACTATACTTATATAGATACCCAATCTCATACAAAGAAATGTCGCATTCGTAAGTCCGTTTATTGAGACGCTTATTTTAATACATAATGCTGATCTATTGATGGTACTACGTAAATCCGCGATGCGTTTCTAATAGTAATCGAAAAGGCCAACAGATGGCAGCTGTTACATGATTGTCAAGGTTTATTGCCCTTGTTCAGGTCTTGGTCATAATTATACAATAACATACCTATAATAAAATCGCAAGGATGTACCTGTCAGTACCTTTAATATTTTATAGTGAAAGGCAGTCCTAAAACGTTTCTTTTTTTTTGTTTATAACATCAAGTGACGGGACGAACAAGTCGTGCGCCTGATGGTACGTAACAGGCCTGTCCATAACAGTTACAGTGCCACTCAGAGCTCTATATTGCAAAGATCTGAGGGGCACTATCACTGCGCCTGTCACCCTGCGGCATAATATGTTGACAAGTCTCATGTGCCTGTAATTTCACCAGCACTCTTATTTTTCAAGCCCCGTACGTAGCAATGCCTGCTTGACGGCAGAAATAGGTAAGGTGGCAGTACTTCCCTGGACGAACTCTTCCACAAGAAGCTCTACTGCTACGTTATACGTAAATGTATATTAGCAAAGGCAATTTTAGCGTGAGCTCTGCGTCGCATACGAATCTCTTAGGCGCTTTGCCATTATGTCGTAACGATTAATTTATAGTTGGATAACAATTTATCGGTTCCCGGCAGCCGCCTTGTCGTTTGTACGACAGAATCGTTTGAAGCTGCGATTATCTGTCGTCACATTTTTATCGTGTCGATTTATTTAATGTCAGACGACTGTTGTTGTAGCTCTTTCCATTGTCACGGTAGTTTGTCATCGTAACGTCAAAAAAGTCGTGACTTCATTTAAGTATACAAGGCACGACAGTTAGTCCATCAAAACGAAGCAGTGCTTTCATATGTGCTCGTATTTGGTTTCATACTTCTTCAACTAGAAACTAAAACTATTCCATCAACCAAAATTTCACCTATTTACAGCACAAAGACTACTACAAAACTACAGGCGTTCGTGTGATCGCGATTTGCCCAGGTGTAACAAATACCTCAATACTCTCACAGCAGAAGCTCGGCAGTTTTGATAAGAACATTGAGAATGTAATGGAGAAGAAACTAAAGGAATTTCCAATGCAGAGGTAAGTAAAAAACAATGAATATTTTGCTCTCTTAACAAAAATTAAGAAAATACAAGATTAGCAAGAAGATATACAAGAAGATCAAGCCTTTGGATATTGTGCTGAAGCTGGTGCCATTTCTCTTTGGCATAATCAACTCATTATTTGGCGAAAGCAGCAGCCAGACTCACTAATGAACGTGAAGCTAATGAACCAAAAAGAACTAGCTGTGTTCTACATGTCAAATCAATCAAATTTCACTTTCATTTTCGCAGTCCAGAGTCCGCTGCACGGGGTGTAATCGACGCATACAAGCAAGGGGAGAGTGGCAGCACATGGCTGTTAAATGCGGACAAGCCTGCTGCCGACATTACTCACGCAGTTACCAAGGCTTATCAAATCATGGGCGAAGGTATCGTTCAATAGACATGGAGAGCGGTATGTGACGTATATGAACGCGGCCAGACTAGCTCAGCAGTTTGCCCGTTATCACAACCTCTCGGAGGCGTTGCTTATACTGTAAATTACGCTAATAAATTGTTCTGAACACCGATAAAACAACATTGTTGATTTTATACTCTCCCTATCAGCCTTTAACCAACTCACCCTGTCCCATTCTCGTCCATTTGAATGTATATAATTTTGAATGAAT